ATTCTTCTCCGGTTTTAAGGATATTTGTTACGATTTATTTAATAAATTTATTGTTATATTTTAACAATTTATTTCATGGCTCGGTAATAGGATCAGTGATTATGTATAAATTCTTATGTACTCGTACTGTTTAATTATTTGAATGCAATAAAGACGTAAAGTTGAAATGGTTCCAAGGCTCGAACCGTAAATCTGGTTCTCTCGCGTTTCTCCGTTCACGAATTTTCGAGGCCGAGTAACTCGTCTGTCTCGAGCACGTAAAAAGCAGGAAAGTCTCGCCATCCAGGACAGTCGGTTGAATTCTTTTGATCTCGCCGCTCGCATTCCAACGTTTCATTCTCATTTGCTTTTACTCTCATTCTCGGTGAACTCAACTAGTTCGTTCCCGATATACTCTTCCATCCCTCGTCGTTTGATTCTCCAGGGAGCGGAGGATTTATTTTTTAATTTCACTCATATTCTCGTTTCGCTCGCCTGATAAGAAGTTCTTCAATCATCAGGAAGCGTTTCGTCTTCCGTTACGCGTCGTAGGCACGTCCTCAAGGAGAAGAGTCTCATTTTTGCGTTCTGCTCGTGTTGCGCCAACGTAACTTGTATCGTCCATTACGCTGTTCCAGTGGAAACTCTACCTGGCTCGGATTAACGTCCCGCTCTATTTATCTCTCGTGATANAATAGATCTTACATTATGATTACATATTTGCTCTTATCAGTCTGATCGAGAATTGCATAAAAATTCCCAATTTATTCCTGATTAAAAAAGATACAATTCTATGTATTATGTGGTTTAAAACTGTGAAGCATCGTGGATCGCATTGCTATAAGACTGGCTAATTGTGCGACGCACATGACGAGTTCTTTGTGTGATAAATCCGTGCTTGTTCCTAATCGCAGAGCGATCGAGAGTCGATCGAGTGAGGCGCGAAACGACCAAAGAACAGTGCAGTGAACGAAGCGAGATCGATACGGGAAAAAAAAGGCGGAGGAGTTAGCCCGATTTCAGGGGGGAAGAGAGAGAGGCGGCGGCCCGGCGGTGGTGCGGTAGCGTCGGCGACGACTGCGGCCAGTAGTAGTTTTTTCGTTTTCCGAGATGACGCGAGCAGAGCGTCGTGCGAGTCTCGTTTGAGAATTACGGAGATCTCTCGGGCGAGGGCGAAGTGTTGCACGTAAAAAGTATTAAAAGTGACGAGTGAAAGGAAGACAAAGACGGCCAAGATGATGAAGAAGGAGAAACCGATGATGTCGGTGACCGCCATCATCCAGGGGACCCAGGCCCAGCATTGGTCCCGTGGGAACACTTGTATGTATCCGATCATGTCGAAATTTAATCAAACCCAGAATTTTATATAAAGTAACTTTGATTCTCTTTATATAAAAAAA